GACACATCGTCTCAAGGACTGCAATCCCAAGGTGTGGCACGTGGTGATTGTGGATGACTTGGTGCAGTCGGGATTGACGCTCATAGAGTGCCAGGTGGGGTGGGATTAGAATGGCAGGTAGGCAGACTGTGAAGTTGGGGGGGAGCTCTAAGTGGCGTCGCACGTGGTGATTGTGGATGACCTAGTGCAGTCGGGATCAACGCTTATTGAATGCCAGGTGTGGTGGGAATAGCGTGGCAAGTAGGCAGACTGTTGCACAAAACTATGGTGGCAGCACGGTGGCAGTGTGTCTATGAACACGCAATCTCAAGGACGGCAATCCCAAGGGGCGGCACGTGGTGATTGTGTGTAGTCAGGGCCGAGGCTTATCAAATGCCAGGTGAGAGGGTGGCAGGTGTCATGCTGGCAGTGCTGCTGCTGACACATCAGGAGCAGGTGTCATGCTGGCAGTGCTGCTGCTGAGCTGACACATCAGGAGGCCAACCCTATCGTGTGGTGATCTGTGGTGACTGAGGGTGGAGGGCAACTTAAGAAGCGGCACGTGCTGATAGCGAATGGTTTGGTACAGTTGGGATTGACGCTTGTTGATTGCCTGCCAGGTGGGGTGGGATGGCAGCATGTCAGCTGTGTGATTGGTGAAAGCATCACCATAACGGGTGGAAACAATTGTCAGTCAGGGGAGACGTTAATGGCTGGCACATGCAATGCAATCTAGAGAGATACGTCCTAACCAACACCCTATTGCCCCTGCTTCCCATGCGTGCACTCCCCCATCTTAAAGAAGCTCTCCCGGCAGCATATGGACCGCGGAAAGATGTTTTTAAAGCATGCCAAAAATCGGCTGGAGCATGATGAGTAGTGATATAAGTTATGGGCAACATCAAACTGCCTTTGCTTCTCAAGTGTGCTCTCTTTTATCTCACAGAGGCTCCTCCTGGCAGCGCATGGAGCACAGGAAGACGACTTGTATGACACCTCGAAGATCGGCTGGCGCGTATCTAAATTAAAAGTTTCTCCTCTTTTCTGGTGTCGTAATGGTGATTTAAGTTATAACCAACATGCCAAAGCCTCTACTTCCCTTGTGTGCACTCCTTCACATTACAGAGGCTCCTGGAAGCACATGGAGCGGCGAAAGTGAGTGCGTATGTGACTCACGGCGTGTTCCCCAACCAGACATGGCGACGATTCAACCACGATGCAAATGGTGAGAAGTATTGTGCTGATGAAGTTATGATGTGCATATGATTGAATTGTGAGGCGCTTACTTATGCGTAAGGCACGGAACCATGTTTGAGGTACATAAAAGCACGTTCTATGGGGCGCATGGGGTGCTTTTTCAACCGGAATGGTGCCAGCTGAACATGATGGGAATGGTGAGGCCATAGAGCTGGCATCACAGCTTAGCGTTGACAGCTTAGCGGTGACAGCTTAGCGGTGACAGCTCAGCGGTGACAGCTTAGCGGTGACAGCTCAGCGGTGACAGCTTAGCGGTGACAGCTCAGCGGTGACAGCTTAGCGGTGACAGCTTAGTGGTGACAGCTTAGCGGTGACAGCTTAGCAGTGACAGCTTAGTGGTGACAGCTTAGTGGTGACAGCTTAGTGGTGACAGCTTAGTGGTGACAGCTTAGTGGTGACAGCTTAGTGGTGACAGCTTAGTGGTGACAGCTTAGTGGTGACAGCTTAGCGGTGACAGCTTAGCAGTGACAGCTTAGTGGTGACATTTTAGCGGTGACATGGACTCACTTGTGTGTGCCATCTTCTTTGCTTCCAGGCAATCCATCAGAGGGCTTTGCACACTTCTGGATAACAGACTCCTGCCCTGCTACAGCGAAGGCTGTGGCCGACCGACCACCGTTTGAGATCCTCTCGCTCACACGCTCCATCCAAGCAGCCCTGCAAGTATGACATCAGCTCATGGCATCTGCGTCGTGTGACATGAGCGCGTGACTGACATCTACCCGAGATGACAGAGGTACATTAGGTGACATAAAATGGCTCCAAGAAGAGAATTTCTGCTGTTATAGAAGCACATGTGGAACACATGTCCAGCCAGCAGCATTTATTGATACACTCATGCTCCAACTTCTTCCAAGCTGCTCCTTAAGCATGGCATTGGCTCGACTCTAGTGTCATTATGGTGAAGCAGCACTGAACGAGGCAAAGGGCAGGAAAGGATTTGTGCTGTCATGTACCATGTGTAGCTTGTGACGAACAGGAGTGGATGGCAGCCACACAAGGTGGTGCTAGGGTTTCAGCAGCTCTATGCAGGACCATCATGTCACAGCATGTTGAGAGCATGGTTGGAATCTTGGTACTTGGGTGATCAAATGTTACATAACCTGTGTCGCCCAAGGATCTGGGTTTCTCAAAATATGCAGGCAGGGATAACTTCAAGCAACGCAACACAATGAATCAGACTAGGATGGACACATCCATCACGAAGGATGGCAACAAGGAGACAGCAAACGTGCAGCGAATACAGCCATGGAACCACCACGGTTGGAATGGAAACTAAAAAGGCCATGGACAAGCCCGGAAGAACTACCTGTCTGGCGTCTTTCTAGTGGAACTATACAGCTTAGAGAAGCATGAAGCCCTTGCGCTTGGAAATTTCAAATCACTGTCATGAAGTACGCGAATTGTAGATTTCTGAGCACCCATCGATCGCCTCCGGCATTAATGGCAGTACAACGATATAGGGAGCCTCGAGATTTGTCCGGCGACTAATTGTAGTAGAGCTCTAGTCCCATGCCGTCGTGAATCTCGTAATCGGCGAGCGTGATGTGGTCTTTATAGATGTTGTACCACTTCTGAATCCGAATCTTCTCGGGCCGCGTCCCCGTCTGCGCTGCGACCAGCTTCTTCAGGTCACCAATAGTGTCATCCTCGTTACACTTGACCCTAATCTTCTTCCCTAACCGGTCGTTGAGCACCACTTCAATCATCTCTTCTGACTAGAGAATGAACCAGATGGTACTATCTCCTTCCGTCTAGTCACAGAGGGATAATACTGAGCGTTCTAAGACTGAGCGTACGAAGACCGAGCGTACTGAGAGATTTGTATGTATCTCTAGAGAAGGTCAGCACTACAAGATAGTGAGTGACCGACGGCAAAACCGATGTTTCTGGAAGTGTAGAGCTTGCGTGTAGAGTGAAAGAGAAGTGCAACGAGTTGTGGCTGTTTTGGCGAACGTCGTCACCTGCAAAATGTTTTTTCGGAGCATTCGTCTGTAACTACCTGCTACTGACTTTCATAACTGCGGATATATCGGCTGGATACAAATACGAGTCACCCAAACACACCCCTTTCAGTAGCGCGTACAGCTGCAAAAATTTCGGCTGGATACAAATACGAGTCACCCAAACACACTTCAGTAGCGCGTACAGCTGCATGGCTGGCCAATTTGTCGCTCCCTCTTGAGGCAGCTTTTTACGGAGTTAGAGGTGGTTTCGTTGGTTCTAGACTGGTACATTAGGGATTCCGTACGGTAGGGAGCCCATCGTCAGCCCCTCATTCCTTGAGATTGCCAGCTTACCCTGCATCCTCGATCGCATGATCGCATTATATGGCGTAGCGCCACACTTCTCATCTTCCCCACCCGCCCAACGGTCTTTACGATCGCTAAACCTTCTCTACGTCACGCCCCTAGCTTGTTGTCTTATGCTCCCTTCGCGCCGCGCACTCGCAGTGACATTGGTACAAGCGCTCTCCGAGTCGCTCGTCGTCGCCGTATATCATCCTTTCGTCTTCAAACCGCGGGATCCTCCCCGAGATCCCTCCGAACGTACCTCTCTTTCGTTAGTCTCGTCCTTTCTGCCACGTCAGATTCGCCCCGGTCTCTGACTCGAGATATGTCCATACCTCAACGTCGCGATCCGATCGTCGCACCGTTCGATCAAAGAGACTAGCACCGACACATATCCTGTATTCACTCGTTGTCACCGAATCCAACCGCGATTCACCGTGGCGCACCCCCACCCGCCTCGTCCCCCTCCCACCTTCTTCCGCGCCTTCCCTTCCCCTCCGCCTTCTCCTTCCCCACCCCCCCCTGCTTATTCCCCAGTCTCCGCACCTCCATCATCACTCCCCTTCCTCTCCCCCGCCTCCCCCTCACGCACTTCCGCCATGGGACGACCCACAGACTCCACTCCCTCCGCCTCTTCCCCCTCTCTCGCCCAAACCCCCTTAACCGCATCCGACCGCACCGCATCTCCTTCTGCACCTGAAATCCCTTCCAAGTCGGCTCAAGACTCCCGCGAGCCAGATGCTACATCCGGTTCCTTGGAAGGGCCCGAGGCGGCATTTTCTTCTCTAATTGCCGGTAAGGAGTCTGCCATTGTAGCTGTCAGGATTCCCCAAAAGCAACTCCAATATGCGCTGTAGTCCCTCCAGCCAGATGCTACATCCGGTTCCTAGGAAGGACCCGAGCTGGCATTTGCTTCTCTGATTGCTGGTAAGAGTACATTGTAGTTAACTCAAAAGTCGATCCAATTGCATATAAGGAACTGTTTTTTGAGAATTATAAAAATACAGAGGCGGCCTTAGCTTCCCTGATTGCTGGTAAGTCGGTAGCCATGGTGCTTTTGAGAATTTCCAAAGCGGCCTGCTTCGACGCTGGAGTTCCAAGAGTGGAAACGACTAGATCTGGTTTGATTTACGGACCCGAGGCGGACCTTGCTTCTTATATTGCTGGTAAGGCCTTCGCCATGGTCCTCGCACCACCTATTGCTCGTGTGTATCGTTAAGTCATGTTACCCCTGGTCGTTGCACCTTTATTAAGCCCTGAATCCTCTTCCTTCCTCTCTACAGTGTTGTAACACTCGCATGCAGATTTTTCTTACACGTACTATCCATCCACATCCGTCGCTGCTGCCAGCATTCCTCCACGTCCCCATCCTGCTCATCAACATTGCTTAGGTTATTTCCAAGACAGTTGCAGCTTCATCCTACCATGCTTCCATCCATCCCTCTCGCCCATGGCGTGCCCTTCTCCCACCAGAGGCGGAGAGTCAAGCTACAGGAGGGAGAGGCGGGGGCGGAGGGGGAGAGGCGGAGAGTGATGAGGAGAGGGCGAGGAGGGCCCTGGAGTGTCCGTGTTTGGACAAGCTGAGGGACGGCGCGTGCTGGGAGCAATTTGCAGAGAGCTTCCGGTGTTACTACGTCAGCAAGGAGGAGGATCAGGTGAGAATGGGGGGGAGAGGCAGGGGGAGGTTTTGAGGTGATGGGGATGTGCTGGGGAGGGGCGTGCTTCGAGCAGTTTGCAGAGAGCTTCCGGTGTTATTATGTCAGCAAGGAGGAGGACCAGGTGAGGGGCGTGGGGTGAGGGGGATCATCTAGGTAAGAACGGAGGGGGGCGGGGTGAGACTGAGGGCTGCCGGTGCTGCTACTAAGCTGCTCTGGGGGGCGTGCTGGTAGCAGTTTGCAGAGAGCTTTCGGTGTTACTACGTCAGCAAGGAGGGGGATCAGGTGAGTATGGGGGGGAGCGGTGTGGGTAGGTTTTCAGGTGAGGGGGATGAGCTGAGGAGGGGATTGTCAGTGCTGATACTAAGCCGCCGCTCTGGCGAAAGTGGTTTGGGAGCAGTTTGCAGTGAGCTTCCGGGTGCTACTATGTCAGCTGGAGTGGGATCAGGTGAGAATGGGGGGGAGCAGGTGAGAATGGGGGGGAGCAGGTGAGGAGGGGGGATGGAAAGGGAATAGCGTGGAGCAGGTGGGAGGAGCAGACGAGGATTGCGAGTGCTGCAGATGGGAGAGGTGCAGGGGCGTGCTGGGAGCAGTTTGCAGAGAGCTTCCAGTGCTACTATGTCAGCAAAGAGGAGGATCAGGTCAGGGGGAGGGGAGGAGGAGTGTGAGGTGAGGGTTCGAGCTGTGTCTTGCAACTCTCTGCATTTGATTTGCGCATTCCTACCAACGCCTTGAGGTGATTTTTGAGGCGCCTAAGAAATTTGTGCATTTCTTACAATGCCTCCCACATGCACACGCAACTCCCCACCCCCTCCCTCCCCCTCTTCCCCCCGCTCTTGTCTCTGACTGCGGGGCTGTGTCTCGCAATTATCCAGACTGCAGACCTGCATCTCTGCCAACGTTCTCGCATGCACATCCATGCCCTTCCCATTGGCCCCACTCTCCTCGGCCGTGACTGTCACTGTGAGTGCAGGGCTCAGACAGCGTCTCGCGGTTCTCTGCACTGCAGACCTGCACCTTCGCCAACGTTTTTGCATGCAATACATGCCTTCCCATCCTCTCCCCTCCCCTCCCCTCCCCTCCCCCATGACTGTGACTGCGTCTGCAGGGTTCGGACTGTGTCTCGCAATTCTCCGCGCTGCAGACGTGCATCTCGGCCAACGCCTCTCACTTCCAGCAATACCTGGTGGAGAAGGGGGAGGCTGACCTGCTGAATGCACCTGCAGATGCGGACGGAAAACCCTAGGCTGCAGCACTGGCAAGCAAGCAAGAGCCTCTCTCAGGTTTTATCTGCCCTGCAGACGTGCTTCTCAGCCAACGCGGCTCACTTCCAGCAATACCTCGTGGAGGAGGGGGAGGCTGACCTGTTGAGTGCACCTGCAGAGGCGGACGGAAAATCTTGACTGCAACAGTAAGCAAGCAAGCTATGGCTCCCTCTCTCTGTACTTCTCCGCATTGCAGACCTGCCTGCATCTCCGCCAGCCCCTCACTTCCCAGCAGTACCTCGTGAGCAGGGAGACGTTGGCCTCTTGAATTCATCTGCAGAGGCAGATGGAAAATCATGAGTGCAGCGGTGAGCAAGGAATGCTTTTGGTGTAGTTGAGATGTTTTATATGGGACTGTAAAATAAATGTCTAATAAATTTACAACTTCGACTTTCAATCTCTCGCATGCCTTGGTAAAGGGTATGAAAATGAATCTCGGCGCCAAAGAAGTCCCTCGTGCCAAAGATTGGCGCTCCTGTCCTGACACAATCACGTTAGGGAAAGACATCGCCCGAATCCCTCCGCGAAAACCTGTTCGCCCCTGCGGGTTTTCCTCGGAGGGATTTTCGATTTCCCGCCGTCGCCTAGCGAAGCACGTGAGGGGCGGGAGCCCCCACCCCCCCCCCCGCCCGCCCGCCCGAAAACGGGCACCCCCAGCTACGCGTGACGCCGGCAGCCCGCGCCCTCGAGCTGGCAGTGGTCCCCCCCCCAACCGAGCCCAACCCCACGCTCCGTTCGTGGACGGGTTCCGTCCGGTAACCCACCCATCCGTCGCCGAGGCGACGCCTCGCCGACGGAACCAGTCCGCGAAATTTCGCCGGCCAGACAGAAGCGACGCCCATCTGCGCCGCGCTCCACCGCTCTCTCCCTCGACGGGCCCATTTCGTTCGCCGCTCGATCTTGGTGACGTGTCGAACGCCCCCTCCCGAACCTTCGAAAGGGCCTTTCAGCTGCATGCAACCAACAACCAACAACCCACCCCATGCAACCAACAACCAGGTTTCACGTCGAGGCCAATAGGGCCCCGCCGGCCTCCGCGAAGAGCTCCTCCTCCCGCGTCTCGGAACGCGCCCTGCCACCTCGCCCTTGCACCCACCTGGTCCGTCGCGGTGGGGGGGATGGCAAACAGCTAATACCCTGAGTGCGTTCTCATTTTGTTGCTATTTCCGATTTTTTCTTCCCTACTTCCTAGTCCCTGCTAGTTCCCAACTCCCTTGCGCGCCTACCCTCTCTCCACTGCTAGGCCTGACATGGCTACGGGCCCCCCTCCCTACCCGTTATGAACGAGCCGACGGTTCGACGCGGCCTCATCCTAAGTGCAGGCAGGGTCGAGGTGGAGGTGTATGAGGGCCAGTTGAATGCGATTAGCGAGGCGCCGAAAGCGGAGCTCGACGAGAGCATGATGATCGCAGGCGTTGTCTACGTGTCCTGTCGAGCATTTTCGGTTTGCCATGTTTCGGTTTACCTGTCGCTGACTTTGCCTTAGCTTTCCGTGCAGCCTGTTCTGTCATGAGCTGCTGTCCGTCGAGCAGCTCCCCAAGGTGTCGATCGTGACTCCGTCGCGTATGCATAAAGAGATGGCCCGTCCCACACCGGTCGCTTTTGCGTACAACCACCTCGACGGCCTCCTCGGCAAGCATGTGGTTTTCGTTCTGCTGCGGACCCCATGAGTTCGACACTCTCCCGTCGCCTTACGTGCCCCGTGTTTAGCCCTTACCCCTTTCTCACGTGCATTGGCTCTGCATGCCGCTTGAGTGTGGCGCCGTTCTCCCACTCGAGGCTGTTTGTGGTATCGCGCCCCGACGATCTGCTGGCTCCGAGGCACCGTGGCAGTCGAACTCGAATGATGCACTTCGATTCGAAAGACAAGTTTCCCGCGGTGAACCACCAATCTTCTCTTGCGCAAGAAGTTTTCGTGTGAGTGACCGCTTTGCCACCCTGCTGTCGACTTGCTTTTCTTGACAATCTTACTCTACTGTCCGTTGCGTCGCAATTAGATGAAGAAGCAGCTTCGCGCCGAATACGCGATGACCCAGCGGGGTCTGACCGAGCACGAGCAAGAAGTGTTGAACGTCATGGACCTTCGTCTGGAGTTGAACAAGAGTTTCGATAAACTGGTAAGCACTCCTCAGACCAACAGTGTTTTCGTCGAGCATGTGTTCTGTCGCTTACGTATGTTTTGTACACGTCGTACACGACGACGGCCTTGTCGAGCCCCTCTGAACCCGGCGCGGCAGCTCGTGTCGTGCATGGGGTGCGCCGGATTCTGTCGAAATGGGACGACTTCATCCTACAGCCTCGAAAGGGTGACCTCGTGAATCTCGGGAGAACGAACCCTGGCCCGGGTATGCTTCTGTTGTTCATGGTCAAGCTGTTTAGGAGAAAGATCGACGAGCTGGCGGAGGGTGTTGGAGTGGGAGGGGGTGCCGACCACGAGGGGGGAGGTGAGGGGATGGCACGCGTTGTGGTTGAGTACAGCGTCGAGGAGGAGGAGGAGATCGAGGAGGATACATCTAGGCAAGCTCAGCACAGGGTGAGCGGCCTGGGCGGCAATGCGAACGAGCACGAGGACTCGAGCTCGGGATCGAGCTCCGGCTCGAGCTCGAGCAATGAGTCGGTCGAGGACGACGGCGAGGGCGCCGGACAGAGCACGGAGCGTACGGGGGAGCACGGAGTGGCGCTCGGGGAGCGGGTGGACGAGCCGGTAAAGCATATCGAGCAGCAGGCGACAGGGGAAGCTAAGGCTGTCGAGGAGCAGGAGGGCGGAGTGGCTGCGCAGGGGGGTGGGGTCGGAGGGCAGCAGCAGGAGGGTGAGGCGGCTGCTAAGGAGGGTGGGGCAGGAGGGCAGCAGCAGGAGGGCGTGGCGGCTGCGCAGGAGGGTGGGGCAGGAGTGCAACAACAAGAGTTTAGGGTGGCAGCTGCGCAGGAGGGTGGGGCGGGAGGGCAGGAGCAGGAGGGCGGAGAGGCTGCTGTGGAGTATCGTCGAGGAGATGAGCAACAGGCCGCAGAAACAAGGGGACACCGCATGGCCAGTGGCAGCAGACAGGCGGGCCCTTCGACCGGGCGACGTTCGACGGCAGGCCAATCGACGTCAACCGTTGCACCCGGAGGCCAGGTCGTCGAGCTACTGCAGAGGGTCGAGAAGGTCAAGGCGTCGCAGAAGCAGCTCGTCGCCGACGTCTTTGCGAAACACAGCGAGCAAGCCGGAGCTTTCAATAGGCTTGCTGCGGATTTTCGGACGGCCTGGAATACGATTTCGGAGTCGTCGAAGAGCACACTGTTGCAGTGCGCCGAGGCTGTGAAGGGTGTCACGGTGGAGAGAAAACTGTTGGAAGGGGTGCGGGCGAAGATCGACGAAATGAGCGGGAAGATCATCGAGGGGGTGCCAGTTGCCATCACAATAGCGAGCGAGGACGCCGTCGAGAAGCAGCTCAAGCAGGTCGAGGAGCGCCTGGTTTTTGCGGTCCTTAAGGGTTTTGAGAAAGCCATCAAGGAGGACATGTTCTACTCCAACCTCCCACCCGAGACCATGAAGGAGCTGAAGGACATTGTGAGGGAAGGCTACCATGAAGCCGAAGCAGGGAGGTTGGAAGTCCTCACCGAAGCGATGGCGAGAGGTTTTCAGCGCTCGGCGGGCCCGTCGACAAGGTCGCGTTAGGAGGGTGTGGGAGGGGTTCGCAACGCGGCTGAGCCTCGAGGTCACGAGCGGTCGGTTCCTCCGTCTTCTTCGGTGGGAGGACATGTCGGTAGCCCAGTTGCATCCCCACCGGCGCGTGGCCGTCATCCCGTCGCCAAGCCCGTCGAGGATAACGAGGTCATCGTACTCGACCAGTCGCCCCTCCCGAAGACCTCCGTAGTGGCTCCGATCGCTCCACCTGATGCGTTTGCTTCGATGCGGGACATGCTGCAAGGCCTGGGGACGACGGGTGGGAAAGGAGTGGTTACGGGGGAGAAAAGTGGTGCCCCGAACGAGCACGTCGCCTCGACCGGGAATAGAGCCCTTGGTAAGCGAGATGCCTCTACCCCGTTAGGCGGCGGTGCGGGGAAAGGAGCGGGAGAGGCAAGCGCTGGGTTGTTGTCGAAGACTAAAGCGACATCAGCTGCGCAGAGCGGTGGTGCTGGCCGAGCTGTCGAGCTTGTGGGAAATTGGGCGTCTTCTTCGACCCCTCCAGTTGCTCCTGTCGCCGCTGCTTCGGCCCTAGGCAACGTTTTCCTTAGCGAACCGGGCTCCCCTTCGACGTCTAAGAGGATGCCGGCTGCGACGAAGTTGTCGAAGCGCGCTGCACATGCGACAGAAAGCCATGACGTGGTGGAGCAGGCCAGCGTCCCTGGTCATGCGCCTGTCGAGAAGAACTCTGTTGTCGTTGCTGCTCGACAGGAGAAGTTGAAGAAGGCCAAGGTGATGGGTTACACCCCACCTCCTCCCCCGGACAACCAAGGCAAGACGAGGGGCTGCATAGCTCCCTTCAAAGGACCGGGTTTAGGGTTGCGGAAGGGGAAGCCGGTTTCCGAGCAGACCGTCGGCGGGAGAAAACGGTTCTTGGGACATTTTGAAACGGAGAAGGATCAGAAGTTCTGTACGGCCATCTGCTGGCGCGTGTACTTCCCCGACATTGTCCTTACGAAGTACGAAGGGTTTACGGCGCAGGATGAGGAGGAGTGGAAGGTGTATCTCGATGCGGCTGTCGAAATGCCAACCGGCGTTTGGAGCGTGGCGCAAGAAGGGGAATGTCGTTTCGACGAGTGAGTTATGTCGAAGTTATGCTGTTTGACTGTTCTGTCGATGTTCTGTTGTTTGAGTGTTTTGGCGATGTATGTCAATTCGGTCGAACGTTTGCCTCTTGGCTAACGCATCGGTTGCGATGTGCAGTTTCCAGTCGCTGTTGGCGACGGTAAATAAGGAAGTGAGAGCCGGAACCGACTGGGGAATCGCGCTGTGCACGTCGATTGGTAAGGTCACGACGCTTGGCATGAAGCACGGGAACCTGATTTATCCAGTCCCGAAGGGCATGGCGGCGACACCGCTCATGATGGCCTTCGCAACAACTGTGGCCAGCTTGTGGGCTGCGTGCAAGAAGTTGTCGAGGAAGGATATTGAGAAGGATGCCCTAGCTGCCGCAAACGCTGCGCTCTACGCCCCGGAGATTGCGACCAAGGCTCGTGTGGCTGCCATGACCGCGCTCGTGTCCATACTTTTGCACGTCGGCAAGACGTGCCCGGCAAAGCAGTGGCCCGATCAGCTGTATTCGTCGACTGTCGCAGGTCTCGGCTCGACAGACGCCATCCTGTTGCAGATGGTGCACGTGGCAGCACAGGTCTGTACGCAATGGTGCTGTTGTCGAGCTGCTGCCCGCTTGCTGGAGGACGCGAGCTATGGCAGCCTGGCAATGCCAGAAGAAAGAGCAAGGCGAAGCAGGGCGACGAGGATGCAGCTGAGACGGAAACGGGCGGGCAAGGGGAGTAGTCTAGGCGGGCACTTTGCGTGGGGGTGTTTGCTATTCTCGACAGTTGTGTTTGTTGTTTCCAAAGTTTAATCGACAAAATGAGCATGTTACGTGGTTCTTGACTTTTCTTTTTCGATAATGCTCAGAAGGTTCATATAGATGAGATGGTCACTCAGCCTTGAAAACCTGCCATGCACTTTCTGAAAGAACAACCTACTCTAGTTCCCCCCTCGTCACGGTTGCCTGTCAAACTTGGGCTCTCGCCCAATGTTTTCATGAACTCTTTCCATTTGTCTTTGAACACGTTCTCGGCCCATTCCGTGGTTCGAAGTTCGACGCGAATGAGCTCCCGCGTGACGTCGACGGGGGTGGCGTCGAGATGGATTCTAATTCGACAAGTATCCGTCCTACGTCCGCCTGCCGGGAAGGCGCTGTCCTCGACGGATCATTATCCATCACATCCCACAGAAAGCTACCATTTCTCCCAAAATCCTGGCCTTTAAGGAAAATCTGTGGTGCTTCTACCCTAGATTTAGGTTTATACCGGGTTTGGGCTGATGTTGCTCCGCGTGGAGATGGCATTTGACGTGGCCGTCAGCAGTTGACGTGACCGTTTGATTGCGACAGACGTAACCCGTCGCCCATCTGACAGCGACAGTTCGCTCGACCGACGAGGCGACAGGTCGGCCGCAGTTGACGTCTCCGTCGATTGCGACCGTCGGTCGGTTGCGAAACACGTTTCGCAACCGTCGACCGTCAGCGCCACCGTGTAGGCGATTCCCTGGCGACTTGCCACCGGTGTAACCAGTGTTGATGGGGGTGCACGGAGCTCGACGACGATTGGCCAATGTCCGTCATGCAGTGCTCGATAAATGTCCCTCAATTTCCACTGTTACGGCTGACATATATATTGTCATAAGAATACGACATTGAACCCGCGGGTTTCGGAGGGTTTTTTGGCCTGGTCAGCCGGGAATTTCTGGGGGCCCGGAGGGATTCCGCGGGTTTTTCGTTTTGCCTCAATTCCCTTTGTGCTAGGGCGGGCGGGGCGGCATGTGATGACGTCACCCGTGTGTATATAATTGGTTATGTCTGAGAAACTGGTGGTGGTCTGACCTTGGGCCACCTAAAGAACTTAGAAATAAAGAGAACTAGATAGCAAAATCATTTAGTTATAATATGAGGCTCCATACAACAAAAATAGGTATATAACATTATAAACGATAGATGGTGTACCAAGGTTGGCCCTCGTTTGAATGTCATCAACCTTGGACCGCTACTAAATCCTCGTCCACCATCTCTGGAAAGAGGTCATCCCACCAATTTCTATACACTTTACCTTGCGACTCCTTGTCTTCATTACAAGTACACATTTGAAGAATTGTGGGAGCATCCAATGGTGAAGATCCACCCAGCGGGCCATTCAATAATGAGGGCCCATCCAGCTTCTCTCCCACTTGCTTGCTCGTCTCATGCTCCTCATCATCCAGCCCACAGATGTCAATGTCAACCAAATCAAGCGAGCCAGCTTTCTCCGAGCTCCCAGGGGAATCCCTTTGCTGCTGCGGACGCCCTCTTGCTTGCAGCTCCTGAGTCAGGCGTTGCATGGATGGCATGTGAAGCAGTTGCACCCGTGTCCCTTGCCGAGAAGAGCGCTGCACCAAGGGTGCAGGAGCAGGAACCATACTATGGGAAGCCTGAAGGCCACCCCCAGGTGCAGGAGCCTCATGTGCCATGGCCAAAGTGTTGTTCTCTATAAGCTCAGAAACCGGTACCACCCCATGGGTCGCCTCATCATACACCATGGGGCTAGGAACAGCTGGTACCATCCCCTCAACCACCTCATCATGCACCATGGGCCTGGGAGGAGCACAGCTGCGGTAGCTGCAAACAGAGAGGGTTCTCAGTAGAGGGCCGCTCAGCACCCCAGGGGTGTTGGGCCGCGGGGAGGAGCTTGCAAAGCAGCTTCCGATGGACTCGTCTGAAGAGACAGGCTGGGTGGCAGCGGGGGCTAGTTCTGAAGATGCCAGGTTTAATGGGGGGTGTGAATGATATGATGGGTAGGAAAGGTGTGGTGGGTATGGTGGGTAAGAGGGGTATGGTGGGCATACTGGGTATGATGAGTAAGATTGGTGTGGTGGGTAAGGTGGATACGGTGGGTAGGGCTGATATGGCACAGCAGCAGCAGGATCAGCCGCAGGAGGAGAGGCAGCAGCAGCAGCAGCAGCAGCAGAAGGAGCAACAGAAGGAGAACAAGCAGGACCTTGAGTAGCAGGAGCAGGAGCGGGAGCGGGAGCGGGAGCAGGAGCAGGAGCGGGAGCAGGAGTGGGAGCAGGAGTGGGAGCAGGAGCGGGAGCAGGAGTACGAGCAGGAGCAGGAGCAAGTGGAGGTGCAGGCGCAGCAGCAGAAGCACTAGCAGGAACAAGAGCAGGCGCAGAAGCAGGAGCAGAAGCAGGAGCAGCGGTAGTAGCAGCAGCAGGAGCAGCAGGAGGAGGAGGAGCAGCAGGAGAAGCAGTAGCATGGGCACCATGGACAAGGGAATGAGCATGGGGCTCTCTGGTTTCTAGGGCTGCGTGCTGGATCGAGTGGGAGGTCGATGTGCTGTCATGCGAGGTGTGGGTGACAATGGGCCGCCCTTCTTCCCCCGTGCGCCTCTTTGCCTGAGATGATGTTAACATGTACCAGCTGCAGAGGGGGGGGGGGGAGAAAGCGTAGGAGGAAAGGGGAAAAGGAGGGACGAGAATGGAGGGGAGAGGGGAGAGGGGAGAGGGGAGAGGGGAGAGGGGAGAGGGGATAGGGGGGAGTGGAGAGGAGAGGGAGTAGGGAATGAGGGAAGAAGGGAGAGGGGAGAGAGGGGAGTCGAGAGGGGAGGGGAGATGGGAAAGGTAAATGAGGGGAGAGGAGTGAGGGGAGATAGGGGAGTGGAGAGGGGAAGGGGGAGGGGGATGAGGGGAGAAGAGAAGGGGTGAAAATAGAGGGGAGATGGGTGAGTGAAGAGGGGAGAGGGGAGAAAGGAGAAGGGGAAGGGGACAGGGGGGAAGGAATAGGGGAGAGATGATATCGGAGAGTTGGGGAGTGGAAACGGGGAGAGAAGAGAGGGGACAGGAAAGACGACAGTGGGGGAGAGCGGTTGGGGGAGAGGTGAGAGGGGAGAGGGGAGAGGGAGAGGGGAGAGGGGAAAGGGGAGAGGGGAGAAGGGAAGAGGGGAGCGGTAAAAGGAGCACTGGGAGCGAGAAGAGGGTTGTGCTCACCTGAGGGCCTTGTGCTCACCTGAGGGCCTTGTGCTCACCTGAGGGCCTTGTGCTCACCTGAGGGCCTTGTGCTCGGCGTCGTGCAATTGTCGCTTCCGTGTCTGCTGCGTCAACTCCTGTGGCGGCTGCATTGCTTCCTCCAACAGCTGCCACTGCTGCGCTATCACCGCCCTCACCTCCTCCTGCTGCTGATCGTGATGCTCCCCCTCCTTCTCTTGATGCCACTGCTGGGTTAGTGCCTGCGTTGTCTCCTTATTTTCTTCCTCCTCCTCACCCCCTTTCTGCGGATGATTATGTTTCGTCTCCCTTCGTTGCTGTTCCTCCTCATCCTGCTTCTCCTGACGTTCTTGATTCTGATTATGCTCCTGCTCCTGCTCTTGCTTCTGCTCCTGCTCCTGCAGCACCTGTTGCTGCTGCTGCAGGTGTGCAGTGGAGGGTTGCGTAGGAGAGAGGGTAAGCGGAGCAGGGCAGGAGAGCGCTGCAGGGTCTGCGGCATCAAGGCGGAACTCAGAGGGACGGGCGGAAGAGTAGTAGCTCTGGTGACTGTCCCCCGTGAGACCAGAGACTGAAGCAGCCCTGGAGTGCGGAGAGATTAAGTGCTGCTGCTGCTCGTTCAGGGTCGTGGGTTGGGTGGCAGCCGAAGGGGAAGGGCTGGTGCTTTCGGGTGGAGTGACGAGGGGAGTTTGGGCAGGCGTGGGGGGAGATGCAGGCATCATCACGGGGGAAACTGCGAGCGAGATGGGAGAGGCCGTCATGAGAGAAGAGGCCGGCATGAGAGAAGCGGCAGCAGCAGGTGCAGCGATGGAGGAAACGGGAAGAAGTTGTGTCGGCAGTGGCAGGAGCGGCGGTGAACTTGTCGCCGGAAACGGCTGCGGTGCGAAGGGCGCCTGGCCTCGAAGAAACTTTCTGCGGAGGGTTCACAGTGGTAGAGAGCGAAGACAGAGGAGTGCGAAGCGGTTGAGTACGGTGAAGTGGGGTGAGTACTGTGAGTACCAGGGTGAATTCTGTGCAATAAGGTGGGTAGAATGGACAGGGATGATAATGAAGAGCAA